GAGTGTAGGTGAGAACTACTATGGGCTAGTTATTGTAGATGACTATTCAAGATTTACATGGGTTATGTTTCTTGCAAATAAAAATAAAGCCTTTAATGCTTTTAAGAAATTTTCCAAGCTTGTTCAAAATGAAAAGAACACAAATATCACCTCAATTAGAAGTGACCATGGAGGTGAATTTCAAAATATTTTGTTCCAAAAATTCTGTGAGGAGCATGGTATTAATCATAATTTTTCAGCACCTAGGACACCTCAACAAAATGGGGTTGTTGAAAGGAAAAATAGGTCTCTTGAGGAATTAGCTAGGACTATGTTGAATGAGACCAAACTACCAAAATATTTTTGGGCTGATGCTATTAACACAACTTGTCATGCGTTAAACAATGTTCTAATTAGGCGTATTCTAAAGAAAACACCCTATAAGATTTTTAATGGGAGGAAGCCTAATATTTCATACTTTAGAGTATTTGGGTGTAAGTGTTTTGTGCTGAACAATGGCCAAGAGCAACTTGGAAAATTTGATGCAAAAGCTGATGAGGCAATCTCCTTAGGATATTCTACAAATAGCAAAGCCTATAGGGTATATAACAAGAGAACTCTAATTGTTGAAGAATCAGTTCATGTTGTGTTTAATGAGACTAACAAACAAGAGACAAAGCAAACTGAAATAGAGGACTTGGCTGATTTGCTTGATCAACCACCATTAGAAAGTGAACCTAATGAAAAGCCTAAAGAGAGTGAAATGAATGAAACCACTGAAAAGATAAGTGAACAATTGCCTAAGAAATAGAAAACTTCTAAGAACTTATCAATGGAAAATATAATTGGAAATATTGGTAAAGGAGTGTCAACTAGAAGATCCATTAAGAATATTTGTAATACTATGGCTTTTGTTTCACAAGTTGAACCTATGACAATAGATGAAGCACTACAAGATGAACATTGATTAATGGCTATGCAAGAGGAACTAAAACAATTTGAAAGAAATGAAGTATGGGATTTAGTGCCATTACCAAATGATTATCCAATTATAGGAACCAAGTGGGTTTTTAGAAATAAGCTTGATGAATCTGGAATCATTATAAGAAATAAGGCAAGGTTAGTGGCTAAGGGGTATAATCAAGAAGAGGGAATTGATTATGATGAGACTTTTGCCCCTGTAGCAAGGATAGAAGCCATTAGATTACTTCTTGCTTATGCTTCAATAATGAATTTCAAGCTTTATCAAATGGATGTGAAAAGTGCTTTTCTTAATGGTTTAATACAACAACAAGTGCATGTGGAGCAACCACCAGTTTTGTTGATTTTAAGTATCCTAATCATGTGTACAAACTTAAAAGGGCACTCTATGGCTTGAAATAAGCTCCAAGATCATGGTATGACAGGTTGAGCAAAAACTTATTATGGTATCTTGATAGTGGCTACTCGAGACATATGACTGGAGATCCTTCAAAATTCTCAATTCTGAAGTTAAAGAATGAAGGATTTGTTACTTATGGTGACAACAACAAAGGGACAATTCTTGGTCATGGAAACATTGGTAACTCTTCCTCCTTAACATTGATTGAGAATGTATTGCTTGTTGAAGGGCTGAAACATAACTTTCTTAGTATAAGTCAACTTATTGACATAGGTTTTAAAATTGAATTTGATAACACTTGTTGCTTGATCTGTGATAAATTGACAAAAGAAATTAGATTCATTGGAAAAAGAATTGAAAACATATACATGCTAGATTTAGAACACTCAATAGCAATTTCCAACACCAAGTGTTTAATAACCAAAGAAGACAATATTTGGCTTTGGCATAGAAGAGCTGCACATATTCATATGGATCACTTAAACAAACTTAGTAGAAAGTAGTTAGTGATAGGATTACCTAAACTCAAGTTTAGTAAGGACAAACTATGTGATTCTTGTCAAAAGGGTAAGAAAGTGAAGGCTAGCTTTAAAAGCAGAAATCAGATTTCAACTACTAGACCTTTACAATATGGGCCTAAAATCACCAAGCTGTGATGAACAATCAAATTTGGGAATCATAGAAATAAAAGATGCATTTGTTCCTTTTGGCAACTTTCCATTGGTGTGGAATTCTTTAATGAATCTCATCATGTCGCCCTCCAAAACATCCCAGTACTTCTTGATGAAATTGAAGTTGAATCCGTCAGGGCTCGAGCTCTTTTTTCCTTCACACTCCCACACTACAACTTTAACTTCTTCATTCTCAAACTGTTGTGTGAGGTAAAGTCTTTGCCATTGATTAGTTTTGAATTGAACCCCCTTAGGTTCGGTTTGTTCCAGATTTCTTGAGTACTTACTACCAAAGAATCTTGAGACCTTAACCTTGATTGTGACTAGATCCTGAACCCACTCGCCATCCAATTGCAAACCTTTTATAGGTTGAGTTTTCTTCCCCTCCCATTAATTGCCATGTGAAAATATCTTGAGTTCCTATCGCTCTCTTTAACTCAAGTTATCCTAGATTTCTACCTTAATAGAGATTCATTATGCTTCTAAACCTCCCACAGGTGTTGCTGTAAGTTTCGTTTGTTCAACTGATCCTAATCTGATAAATCATCCTCTTCCTCTTTTTGGTCTAACTTGTTTAACCTTTCTTCCACCTCCATTAATCTTTTTTGTAAGTTCCTGAAATGGTTTAAGTTTTTTATGATAACTTGTACATGATTGTTACATTTAATTTAGTTTAAAGATGCTTATGTTGATGTAGTTTACATTAGTTATGTATTTTACATTAATTATGTAGTTCACATTCGCTATAGAGTTTACCTTAGTTACGAGGTTTTATTTAGTTTACCTTGTATAATTTATCATATGTACACTTTAATGATATTTAAATTGATAATATATTATATAAACGCTAATGGAAAAATAAGACAAAATGCCATGTTATTACATTGACTGATTACCGTGGATTGATTATTTATATTGCTATGATTTTATTTATTTTTAGGAGTGGGCTACGTTCACAAATGGGAGAATGAGAGGTGTGTTTGTGGAGTAGGCATAACAATCTAACCCGCCCCGTGGGTACCTGCCCAAACGTGCCCCGTGTTAGATGGGAAAAACTCGTGTTTATTAGGTTCGAGTTCGAGTTTTCCCTGATTGATAAAATCAGGGGTGGGGGCGGGGATGTCAAGACCTGCCCCTGTACTTGCTCCGCCTTCGCCCCTCCCTGCTTAATAATATAATTAAAAAAATATTTATATATATAAAAACCAAAATTAAAAATATTTATATATAAAAATTTGTATTATCTTACTTTTCTTTTATTTTTTTAAATTTTTTCATATTTATTTAAAATAAATAAAGAAAAAAAAAAGAAAAAAAGAAAAATAAAAAGGTAAGACCGAGAACGGGGCGGGACAGGGAAACTCGAATCTCGCCAGCAACGGGGATGGGTACCCAGATTTTACCTTCC